GTGTGTGTGTGTGTGTGTGTGTGTGTGTGTGTGAGACAGAGAGGGTGAAAAAATTGCTAACATATGAGAAAGAACGAATGAAGGCAAGCACGAGGAACGACAAAATGCGTCCGTGCGATCAGAAGCAAGTAAATGAATGAGAAACGGAATGTATGTGAAAATAAAAGCAGAGAGAGAAAGAGAGAGAGAGAGAGAAAGGGAATATAAAAGAAAGAGAGAAAGAACACAAAAAAGAGAGACGAAGAAGCAATCGCACCTCGACCGAATTTAAAAAAAAAAAAAAACCTATAATTTCCTCTCACACCTCTGCGCAGTGTTTTGGGCCTTTCCGTCCAATAACGCGATGTACCACTGTCATTATTTATTTAATTTTTGCAATCTACGTACAATAAAAAATTGTTGTTGCTGAAAAACGATAAGTGTAAATGTGTATACTGTACATTCAACCTTCGTTTTAAAAATCATTATTAAGATCTCACTGGACCAGGATTCCTGCCGTCCTGGCGTGTGTTGTAATTGTACATGTACATATACATGCGTATTTTTTAATATCAGACGGTAATTTACTCGATAATTAGGATCGCTTATTAGAATATATATGTATGTATGTATATACGCATACATACGTACGTACGTACATAAGATATAACATATATGTACACATATGCATCCCAGTACCATGTGTGTACGTATATTTATACATATATGTACACATATATGGAGGAAAAAAAAAAAAAAGAATAAAAAGAAAAATGAGAGCGGCATTCCCGACGCCGATGTCTGCGATGAACGATCTCCGAAAGGAATAAAGCACTTTCACGTAGCATCGTGTTTCTCTTGCTCTTTCTCTCTACTACCCTTGATTCTCCTGGAAAATCCACTTTCTTAATTGCAACGTCTTATTTCCTTGTGTTTTTTTTTTTTTTTTTTCAATGCCAACACTCGACATGATAGTAATTTTCATCACTGAAATCAAGTCTTCCTGGTTAATTAATTACAATGATAATTAATTCGTAATTAATTACAAATCAGATATGAAACGGCACATATATTATAATGAAAGTAATGAAATTCTAGGAATAATTCTGCAGTAATCTATGCTTGTTTTGACGTCATTAATTAACATGTATAGATTTCCTTCCACATTTTAAATTGGATTCTGAATTAGCTTCTTCTATTCCATTTGATCTGCGAAAAATACCAACAATGATCTGCAGATTTTACTCGATTTAGATTGAACTGGACGCGTAACTTCTATGCATTTCAAAACTGATGAACTTTCAACTACGTCGATGGTTAATTTTGATTCAAC